TTTAGATTCTGTTATGGAAATGCAACATAACGTACCTAAGACGTCATTTGACGTCTCAATCGGAACTTTCCAAATGGCTCGTGCAGTTTGCCTTCCATACACAGGAAAATCTGATCATGTGACCAACTGCATGTCATTGAAAATTGAATGTCAATTTAATTAGTATTGTCATATAAGGAAAGACATCAGCAAATGTAAATATTGGACTTTTGAGCTTGAATACTGTTCGCAATCTCCATAATTTCATGTTGATGGAGAAAAGTGATTACTTTACGAGCAAGATGAGAGAATAGAAAAATTCACAATCATTTCTAAATTGTAGTATTTTAAATCAGGAGTTTTGCATATATCCCTTCAGATTTTTTTAAATTCCGTCCCAATAAAATGCTAAATGAGCGAGGCTATACTAGCTGTCGTCACATTTGTTGATCTACCTGTATCAATAGAAGTACGTTTCTCAGAAATTAATTCTTGGTGCTGGCATATATATGTAGTTAAGACACATACAATATTATTTCCGGTGGTTTGATTTTGCACATCCCTGCATTGTATATAAAGAATGAAGATAATATTTTTCACTTGTGTAGAATTCAAATAAATATAACATCTACTTAAGAGACGGTGCCCGCGAAATAACAACAAAAAGGTAAATAAACACTGTACATCATTGCGCACAATTCATTATTCATAAAAAAAAATAGCTTGGTCGTAAGTCTGGCTATGTTATCTGGTCTTCATACATCTGTCAAAAAATTGATATTAAACAATGTGCCTTGACATATATTTTCTTTTATTTTGCTTTAATCATTTTGTACATATGTTATGATTTCAAATATATCTTGAATATAACTATACTAAGAATGCACTTATTACATGTAAAATATTCTTTTACAAAATCAGTTCGCACTGAAAGTACTAATGGAAGTAGAATGTAGAATGCATTCTTGAGAATGCCATTTTTTTTTTTTTTTTTTTTTTTTTTTTTTTTTTTTGAGAAATTGATAAAGGACTATTTCTATCATACAACTATGTGATTACATTGTTACCAATGTACATGAATATGTTCATTTTTTCAGATAAAAAAAAATTAATGTTTCAATATAATTTGTACAAAGTGATACTTCTCCGAACACAACTTTTCTTCATTAATTTTGAAAAGAAGATAATCTGTGTAGCAAAGAATAAAAATCTATCATTCCTCGTTCCTATTCCCTCAAAACAGATTAAAAATGGGACAAAAATATAAACTATTGTAAATATCAAAGCAGATGATTGACAAAATATGTGAGAGAAAGATGTGTTTGAGAATTTTGGATAAAATAACTTCATGGTAAGTATTCGTATGTTCCAGCTGTACCTGCAATGAAAAAAAATATGCTTAAGAGAAATTAAAGCTACATATTTGATACATTATTGTTTCCTGACATTCCAGAAAGTTCAACCTATCTTTCAATTTTAGGATTAGCAAAATTATATAGCATACAGCATTCTTAGCTTGTTAAGCACGGAATATACGATAATCACATGAAAGTACTAATCTTTTATGAGATCTTTGTAGCTTACTTTTTCTTTCAAAATCTTCATCACATGTCTTTGCACCTGCTTTTGAGACAAAGTATTTCTGAAGACAGGTATAAATGCTTGAATATTGTTCCTACAAGAGTAACAACATTTCGATCATTCCAATTTCCGAGACATGGTGTAAAATGTTGAAAACAAACGTAATAAAGATATATCTGAATATCTTTTATACATTTGTCATAAAAATCTGGAAAGTAAAAATACAATTATGTCTAAAGATATCATTTTCATTACTCATTATCTTTTAAAATTACTTACTTCTGTATTTATTGTCAACATTCTTTCATTCATAACACTTAATGCTGTCCCGTATACATCGACATCTCTGGCACCTTCCTCTACTGACTTAACCAGATAATCTGTTGAGATGAACACTCCGCTAAAGTCGGTTCCAGAGCTACGGATATAGAAGTATATATATATATATATATATATATATATATATATATATATATATATATATATATATATATATATATATATATATATATATATATAAATTCAGTTGTTCATCGTTGCTCTTCGTTTATTTCAGGGAGTAACATGAGTTTAAATTTTTTTCTCTGAAAATTATTATATTCATTCACATTTGCATGTCCTGTGACGTCAAAAAAATCAATAAAGTGAGAACAGGAAACCCCTGTCATTTCAAAGATTCAAGAATTTTCTTCTCAGATACAATTTACCAAAATTCTATATTCACATAAACGAAAAGGGTGTCGTTAAAATCACAACAATTTACTAAAATTTAACAGACAACTAACCATCCTCCATGCACGATGAATGGTCCTGTATCTTTTATATCTTTTTCATTCGATTTTATAAGACTTATGCAACTGAGTAGTACCTCCGATAAGTTTGCCATTTTAAGACCATACATCTGATAGTGATTTACATTCTTCATCTCCTTTCCGCGTAAAAATGAGTTCTACAAATAAAGAAAATCTGACAATCTGCGTAATGAAATACGTCTTCAGTTGATATTAAACAAACTTCCTGTAATGGGACATTACCTTAGACAACCTGATTTTACGCAAACTCGCTCTTTCAAGAATGTTAAAGGTTGCCAGCAGTTCTACGTCGATTCCTCCCACGGAAAGCACCACACCATCCGCGACTGGAAAATACTGGTCGCCCTTCAAATATTTATAATAAACAGCCAATTAATATGAAATGATTTAGGTTTCTCCTTGCCTTTCTTTTAGATCTTATAAGCTCAGATTCAATCTGAATGGAAGACCAAACCAATCTTTTAAGTCATGTGCAATGGCAAAATAAAGCTTTAAAAGAGTTCTTAAGTTTTAGCCTCGACACAATGTATGTCAGAGAGTTTGAGAAACTGACGACAGGATTTTCTGTACCCCATTTATAGATGATATACGAGGTCATTCAAAAAATTCGTAGACTTTTGTCAGAACATTTTTTATTTAACGTAATATAATAACCAAATTTAGTTCACATATTTTAAAAATAAATTCAAATCATTTGAGTCAAAAAATTTAAATATATCTTGAAATTCATTAGAATTATCAAAGATGTAAGACAGCGAAATTCGGGTCACGGAGCAGGGTCAAAATAGAGTTATTTACTAACTATACACTTCATAATATCTATAGTCATACCTCTAATAAATGGTACTTAAACGAAATAAAAATCAAATGTTCAAATTTAGCATTGTTATATTACTTCAGATACTAACATGTAATGTAAAACATTGACTTGTTTAAAAATTATCAATTTCTAAATGCAGATGGACTTCATTAAAAAGCCAAAAAGGACGTCACGGAACAGCGAGTAGCTGTAAAACATTGCTTTGCATTCGGGAATCCTCTAAAACAAACTCTGAAAGTGCTGAAGGAACCAGGAAATATGTCAAAAATGAGCCGTACATTCGTATATACATGGAAAAGACAGTTTTTGAGTGGTAGATACTGTATGTTTACTTAAAAGAGCGGGCTTTATATTTTAGCGGCTTTGGCGCAGACAACGATGCGCTAATTAATGAATACCGCTAAGAAATCATTTATAAATACAGTTTACGGCAAGGACATGTATAGCGCTAATTCATGATTTCGCCAACAACTCCATGCCCAGTGATTGCGCTAAATTTTGAATATTTGCCAATTAATGTACACGTACAGTACTTTGAATCGGACGTTGGACGGTCGGCGAAGAAAGAGATTATTCTTAAATCTGGTCAAAAGAGTAACGTCATGGAATGTGATTTGTGCTTCCCTGTTGCAGAACTTGTGAAAGCAAAGTTACGCGGTAAAGAATTTAAAAACACTGATAAACTAACTTAATAAGTTACTCGAACAATTGTAAGCAAACTAGGTGTCAAATATAATGGATACGTTTTTATGAATAAGTAAGATGCTTCAAACCGTGTATGAAATGAAAAGGCAGAGTAATTTTTAGAAACCATTTTGACATGTTTTTGACGTTTCAATGTTGTTGAGTCTGTTCAATGTTGTTAAGGTGACAAAACATGTTGAGTTTTTAATTGTGTAACATGAGCTCCATTTAATCAAATGGAATGAAAATTCACACATCTACAAAATAAATGCTTTACATATGAAAATGTATTGGTCTTAAATCTTGTAAAAATAATATGATGATGAGGGACATTGTCTATGTATTTTTGGAATGACCTGCATATGTAAAAGAATTATAAACGAGATTGATGAAAAATTATGTGTTTTTTAAATAAATACCTAAAAGCTTTTCTCATCTTCAAAGGTATGTTATAAATAACGCAGTTTCAATTTCATTCCAGTGTTTTAAGAACAAGGTACGGTTTCAATACAAATCTTGCCCTGTGTTTTTCTTAAAAATAAAAGTGATGTTAAAAATTAAAACTCATGCTTTTTGAATTATTGAAATTCCGTGCAGAAAGATCATACAAATCTTTTTTTTTTCACATGACCTTCCAAATGCTAATTGTGACGTCATAAACTTGTGCATTTTCCCGTATTTTCTTAAAAAGTTGCAGAAGACATCAATTTTCAATGGAATTTTCTTTCAGATAATATTGTCCACAGGCATCGCCCACAAAGATTTTGAGATATGTGATTTTTCAAAGAATTTTACACTACATATCTAAAAATTAACGTGGGCGACGGCTGTGGACACTATTTTCTTAAGGAAAATAACCCTTGAAATGGGACATTTTGAGGCTTTTTCGGTTTAAAATAGAGAAATGCATCAAATTAATGACGTCATATATCAAGAATGGTACTCCATCATGCTATATTCTTTCCTGATTTATTACAGTCATATACTCAACTAATATTTAAGCCAGTTTCAAAACTTTTTGAAAACATTAAATTTTTAGGGCACAATAAAGCTAAAACCATACCTTTTTCTTTATTTGTTTAATTAATTTACCAAAAGCAATATACATATTTTCAGGTTTCCTTTCAATACCTGCGTGTTAAATTGTGGAGGCGGAGGGCACCGCATAAGTAGTCCTTAAAATAGATTACCTTGCTATTTTCATTGCTGTCATCAGAAAGTACAACAATAGAAGGTGCATTCTGTTCCCACACCATTTGCCAGAAATGTCCCATTGTCCTGGGCAGAGGATACTGGGTCATTATGTAGTGTTGGTTCTTTACAAAAAAAATAGTAATCAACTTTAAATAATAATATTTCAAAACACAATAATACTTATAGCCAAAATGAATGTTTATCACATTATTCAATTTCCACAATTCTGACATATTCTCATTACACTGATTTTGGTCCTAAGGGTTCTTAACATGATCTTCCTTAATAGGTTCATTTTCGTACCTCAGTTTCATTCAATTTTAAAGACACCTGCTTATGTTTAACTTTGATCCACTGGAAGGGATTGATATCAAGAGATTTGATTTTAATCAAAATATGCATCGGAGTTAAAACACTACCTTAATGCATACATATGTTTTCACAAAAGGTGTGGTACTGAAAAGAGTCACTAATAAGATAATTTGATTTAAAATACACTTACCAAAATAAAACTCGCATTTATATAGTCATTCTGTGAACCCTTCTTCCCTTCAAATAACTTTACTCGATTGAAATCATCTGTAACATTAATGGCACATGATCAGTACTCTCATAGCAACTACATTATATGCAAATATTGAGTAGGGGGTTGAAAGCAACATTGATCATTTGGAAGAGCAAAGTACAATATCCTTGTCCCATAGGACTCAAATAATCAATGGTGCTCGATTGATTGATTGTTAGGTCCCATTCGAGAATTTTTCTCTCATAAAGAGACGTCACCATAAACCGGTGAAGGGCTTGAAATTTAGATCTTTACTCGGCATTCGGGCAGTATTCTGATTTCATTCATTAACATTCAAAAGTTCGTTGATATCCCATGTGTTATATGCAAGTGACTACACTAGACAAAATTGCTAACGCACCACCAATGAAAATTAATATTTTACTTTTCAATGCTTGCCTATAATGTATTTGATATATAATTATGTTTCTTGAATAAAAAATGAGGTATTTAAATGTCTTAACTGATAAATAAGTACAATGTTTACTGAAGCGTAACCACTTCAAAGAAAAAAATTAAAAAATCATGTCCATATTTTTTGGAAGAATGAATTTCTATTTTTCTTTGTGTTTGTGTTCTTTATGCTTATACTAATTAAAAACTCAGAAAAAAAGTTACACCGTATGCAACGTTTGACCCTAGAAGAGCGTGTTCAAGCAGACAGTATGGTGTCTGCAGGGGGTTCCTTTGGAAAAATTTGTAAAAAAAAAAAAAAAAAAAAAAAACAAAACAAAATGAAAACAAAAGATTATTTTAAAATTCCTATAATGAAAAATTGTTGAAAATAGATTAGCAAACATAAAAAATGTTTACTATAGATATCCACGGCATTAAGTAAGAAGTACACGATAATTTCAAGATTGTTTCACAAAATTGGGGCAACCAGAAGTTGGGTGGATTTGATATGGACACCAAGGCCTTGGATGACTACTAGGCGATATGATAGTCAATAACTGTGTGTTATTTGATTTTCAACTTGGAGACTGCTTCCATGGAAACCTCACGGACCACCTTTACTGATCACCAACTTCATATCTGGGCAAAAATGGTGCGCAGTGAACGTAGGGAAATTGGTTTTCGGGCAGGAAGGTCACTTAGGGGTCTTTTCATGATACCAAGACATTGGTCAATCCCACTGTTTTGGAAAAGATGGCAAATTATATATACAAGTATCGATCTGGCAAATGTTCAGTTTACGAATAAGTCTAGCGTATAGTGCTAGTTAATCAAGTTGCCATGATTGTCTTAGCTGGTTTTTATGTCTTTTTTGGAAGTCGCAATGGTATCATTAACTCACAAAAAATCAATCCAATAATCAGCATCAAGATCAATAATATTGTGAGAAAACTCTTTCTGTCGGTCATTATTAAAATATTTTTTAATATTTCTTCAAAGGATCAAGTATTATTTATTGACAGTTTCACCATAAAGAGACTTTTCTTAACGGAATAAAATAATGAAAGATAACTTTTCCTTATGGATATTTTGTTGTATATGTAAACTTACACGGAACAATTTTGCTCCTGTTTCTCGGCAAATTATTCTTGGATTGTCCTATTCTTGTACTTCCTTTACCAGCTGACAAAAGCAAGTTCTTGGAAGCAAATAAATACATAAAAATAATAGTAATGATAATAAATCAAGATTCGCCATTTTGCAAAATTACATGCGAAGTCCGATTTGCATAAAAGATTGTCTGGGAGAGAGCAAGGCACAATAAATAATCTCATTAACTTTGTTAATAATTGTTCACTTGTAAATAAGGCTTTGATATTATAGTCCATTTAAGGGGTATCCATTCTAGAACGTACCAGTACATTAAAATGGAGAATATAAGGTATATTGTGATATTAACAAATCATACTTACAGAAAATTCATGATAAATCTTCAGTTTACTGTCTCTCATAACATTTTCCACATGGCTAACAAATTGATGCACAGGAATAGATCTGATATATATATATATATATATATATATATATATATATATATATATATATATATATATATATATATATATATATATGTTTTGATTTATACTTGTTGATTTCAAAGTAATTAGCAATCATACATGAGTACGTACGTTTTCTCTGGTTGACCTCCCCGTTCCAATTTGAGATAAATTTGTTCACTGGAATAAAGGTCAACTTATTTTTACTCCCCCAAAATTATTGCAATATTTCCAGTCATTTTTATACTAAACCTTAAAAACTTTAAACAAAAAATGAACAAAAAGCAATTTTTTCTAGCTCACCTAAAACTAGTTTTAAAAAAACATAAATATTCAATGGAACGAAAAAGTAATCGATATTAAAACTAAATTTAGAAAAAGAAATTATTAAATGAGAATATTAGGAACAGTTTTTAAAGTCCATTTAAACATTATTAGCAGAACAGGGGTAGGAACAGATTCCATTGAAGAGTGCTTGCTTTTAAAGCATTTTGGTATGGTGGACCCCTCTTCAAGTAGCAGATCTGTGTATGTAACATAAGCAATTAACCTAATGTGTGTGTTGTATCTGGGTATATCTTAATACTTACTTTTTGGTTCGTTGATTGAACTCCAGATCTGCATACGTATTACCGTCGTTTTGGTTTTTTTCTAAAATAAACTTCATATTTCATGGTCTCTTCTTTGAGAACATCCCCCCACACAGAAACACAGACACTAATGCAAACAATTGAATGTCTTCATTTCGTCCTAATATTCCATGAAATATTTGATATCTATTCATAGAGTACCTTTTTTTAATTATAGGATTTTACAATAAGAGACTGAACACAGTTTTACTTCATCCAATTTAAAGGGGTCAATATTAATAGGTTGGCATTTAAATAAAAATACAATGTCATAAGAGAATATCATCAAATAATGAAAGAAATCACTAAGAATTACGAATAGTTCACAGACATAATTTCATACAGCACCTGTTTCTCCTTTTCAGGAAGACCAAAACCACTATAACAATGACAAGCACAACTATTGCTCCAATTATTGATCCAACTATCACACCTATATTTGAGGTATCGCCAAGCTTCCCTGAAAAAAAGGCTTGACTTCAGATGCAAAGATATATATTCAAACTCATGTTATTTAATTGTTCACTTAAGGGAAAACAATTTTTGCAGCATATACGGTCTATTTTACACATAGAAGTTTGCCATACTTCAGACAAAAAGGGAAATACTTCGAATATTTCGAGCATAAAAATTTGTCATCAAACAATCATTTATTATCTTTCATATTTTTTTTATATAGATATAACAAGAATAAAAAAAACTCAGTGAGCCTAACCATGCGCCGCTCGATAAGAATGCTTAAATAATGAAAGAATAAATGTAACCTTGTTAGATAGGGAAGATGAAGTTATTCTGAATTTCAATCCCAAGTCTCAATTCAAGCGAGAACTGCCAAGCTGCTTAGGAGAACGACTGATAATCACACAGATTTATTTTACCTAGTTTTAGCGTATAAAGGGCTATTTTGTTGATAGTGAATACAAAATTCGTCTTTTTCGAAGTAAATTGAGTGCAAAAGCAATTTATTTTATCTGCAGAAAATAAATTTTCACCATTACAGAGAACTAGTGGAATTGTATTCCTCTCCCGAACACATCAGATTAAAAAATAAATTGGAGAGGGCTAAATTATTGCAGCTAAGGTGTTTGCCTCTATATTCACTCTCTTTCACATTTGGGTAATCGAGGAAAACGCCACAATAATTGTATAATTTATAGAATATATACTTATCAAATCAGGCACAAAATGTTCAATAAACCTGTGACCCATTGGTCTCTTATGTTATTATTTTATATCAAGCATTGATAACCAGTCTACAATTACAGAATCTAATAAAGTAAATTATTTAAAGGGAGTTTTCGAAAGGCTTTAATTTAAAATAAAAAGGGGGGGGGGTAATTTTGGACCCATAATTTGAACTTTTTTGTCAAAACAAAGAATGTAATTATTATAGTGCTTCAAAGCGATTTTAGCCCCTATGCCGTCTTTATATTGTGCACATTAAATGGTATATCGGTTCATAACTCCCTTGGATATCATCTCAAATCCTAAAACTGGAAATGATCATATACCTCGAAAACGATTTAATAGTTTTGTTTAACATTCCCCTTTAACTACACTTTATTTTATTTTTTGTTTCATCATACATTTAATGGTTTATAAGTCATGAACCCTAAAGGTCATTCCCACTCCATGAAACTTGAAATGATCACAAAATGGCCATCGTGATATAGGTGTAAATCTATTCAGGGTCAGTTTACCCTCCTTGAATTAGGAATGAAAATCTGTTTGTCAACCCTCATTTTCTGAATTTCTCTATGTCAAAAGAAAGTAATGGTATGTATACGTATTAATCAATGTAAATATATTTATATATATTAAATGTCTGAACAATCTGCCAAAGGAGGGGGTTAAATGCTCAAAAACCCTAAAATTTGTTAGTTTACCCCCACTGGTTATCAATACCTATTCCAAAGTAGGAATGGGCTACTGAACATTTTCGGAATCTCAGGCACCTGACATCGCACTACGGACAGCGGACTTGCGAACAAAAAGCAACTTACGGAGAGCGTATTAAAATACGTTTTAACATTAACCTGAGACTTTTCTTTCATTATCTCTGACATCTATTAAAACGAATAAATTGAAAACAATTAAATAAGTCAGAATTGTAGAGATTGGTAGAGATTAAAAATAGTTCGTACTTAGCACATTTTGCAAACAAATAAACCACCACATTAATTGATCATAATTAAATATGTTATCTTTACATCATTTGCAATGAGGGATTCACGGGTAACGGGAAATGCAACCCCTCCCTTTGATTTTGGAAGAAATAAAAAAATAATAAATGATGATTGTAAGGAAAAAAATATATAAGGAGGGGTGAAAAATGAGAGTTATGATTGTATTCATGTTATTGGCAACAGGCAATAATAAAACTTGATATTTGACTCATCTTCTTCAGCACAATAAAGTCATTCAAAATTTTCGAATTTCGATCTCTCTCGATTGCACACGAAATAGGAAACCGATTTTTTTATTTCAACACATTAACCACATCAGCTCGGTTAAGATAATATATAGAAACTAATGATTTTTTAAACAATAAATTGGATATGAAAAAGAAAATAATTTTGAAAAAAAATCACAATGAGGAATTAAAATTTGCAAAGTTTGATTTGAAAAATCCAAACGTACATTGCTACATGTAATATGACTTTATTGAGTGATTTTAAGAACTCAAAATTTAATGAAAGTAAGCAATTAAAAAAGACCCCCTCTCCATTTTTAAAAGATAAAATACTTGATATAGGTAACACATGTACGTGCAAAAATTCTGAATTATGTTTAGCACATTACTTAAGCCATTTCTTGGTTGAATATTAGTTCGTGTATATATATCGTTTATATGGAATTAAAAGTGTCATGTTATTACCTCGATAATTCAAATTGTATTTTTATCATGGCCATGATGTAATTACAAATTCTTTATTAAAATACATCGATGCAATAATAGTTATAAGTTTATATTTTTAAAAAAAAACTGTCTTTCAAGATCCAAGAATTAAGAAACTTCCTGGACCCCAGCAAGGCTTCAAATTCAATTTTTCCCTGTACCCAGTGGAAACCTCAAGCAGGTGGCCTCAGATCCCTGACTAATTTACATCACACTTTGCGCGGCTATTCCAACGAGAATGTAATTGTTAGTATTTTTATTTTTTTAGGGGTAACATGTTTATGAAGTAAATTTTTAAATCAGTACTTATATGTCAAAGCCCAGTGCTATCTGGATTTGCGCCTGATATGTAGAGTACAGAATAAGCTGTATGTGATATGTTATTTACGTTCAAAATTAAAACACCGATAATGTGTTATTGTCCAAATTTATTTATTTCCCGAGAAAGTACTTTTTTCTTTAAATTAAACGTTGTATGTCCACTAACAATTCCTTAAACAAAATTTATCATATAATATATTTTATACAGTGACGCCATAACTTACTCTGACAGATATTTTCTTATTTAAAGATCATGCGCTCATTAACGTACCTATATCAAGAAGCAATTCCTTTACATTTTCTTAGTTTTTGGAGATTTCTGCTTTTTATTTGTTGTCGGGAAAATGGTGCAACTGGAATTAAACAATTAAACAATCTCTTGGGATAGGGGGCAATTCATCTTTTTAGGAAAAGTTGTGGGAGCCCCCCCCCCTTCAATACCACGTGCGTGTGCAAACTTGTACAATACAGAGTAGTGTTAATCATCAAATAAGAACGAAATGTGATTATCGAGTACAATCAAGACTACAAAAATTATTCATATTATTCACTTTTTGACACGTTCCCTTACGTGAAAAGTCCGCTGTCTGAAGTCAACTGTCGGATGTCTGAGATTCCGAAAATGTTCACTGTGAAGAACGTGAGAAGAGTTCAGGAAACAATGTTTTTCAGTCGTTTTGACCCCTATTTAGCTTAATCTAAATTTCAAAATCTCATTACTGGACACCACCAATCACATTTCAGAAGATGATCTGGCAAATGCACAATGACACTATTAATAAAAATTCGGGGAAGTTGCGGATAAAAGGTTGGTACCCATAAGTGTTATGGATTTACAAAGGATGTACAGAAGAGCGTACATTCCCATCACTATATACCAACCACTTTTTAAGTGGAGGTACCAATAGCTGAATACTTGCCTCTAAGTGTATTGTATGGCCCAGCTTGACTTGATTGTGAGCATCCACCATTTGTACAGGTAAATAAAATCACACTGGAATTTAAAAAAAATTATATTTCATAATAGTTGAAATAAGAGATGAATAAAATTTAAAGAACAAACTGACTTACCATACTTGAAGCATTTGAAGAAAAGATCAAGATATCCCAGGCTTACCCGAAATATCAATAATGAATTAAGACATTGATTTGTTTCAAGTTTTAACATACACATTTAGTTATTTATATCTTTTTTTCAAGAAACAAAGATTTTTATAACCCCGGATCGAAAGATCCCCGGGGGTATATTGTTTTTGTCCTGTCTGTCTGTTTGTCTGTTTGTCCATTTGTCTGTCTGTCTGTTGTCAACTTTAACCTTGCCCATAACTTTTGATTGGTTGGAGCTATGACTTTTATATTTCACATGTGTATTCCTTGTGACAAGACCTTTCTTTGGGTACCATCATATTTGACCTTTTGACCTTGACCTTGGAGTTTGACCCACTTTTGCATAATTTTATGAGACTTTAACCTTGGCCATAACTTCTGAACAGCTGGTGCTTGGGGTTTCAAACTACACATGTGTATTCCTTGTGACAAGGCCTTCCTTTGGATACCAACATCTTTGACCTTTTGACCTTGACCTTGGAGTTTGACCTACTTTTGAAAAACTTTAACCTTGGCCATAACTTATGAACAGTTGGTGCTTAGGGTTTCAAACTTCACATGTGTATTCCTTGTGACAAGACCTTCCTCTGGATATCAACCACTTTGACCCTTTGACCTTGACCTAGGAGTTTGACCTACTTCTGAAAAACTTTAACCTTGGCCATAACTTTTAAATGGTTGGAGCTA